TGCTCACACCTGCGAATACTCCGTCCGTCGAATTTTTGTCTTTGATTCGTCAGCACCAGGAGTCCGGCCAGTCCGTTTGGATTCCGTGGCGTCAGCGCACCTCTGAAGCTGACTTCTTGCATTGGGAAGAATCCCGCCGCCCCAGGTCCGACCGCCAAATGCTTCGATCTCTTCTGGACTTACCGGATGAAGCCACTGGCCCGACCTTTGGTTTCAGCATTAACGGCCCTGCCGAATCCGTTCTCCGGCGCTGCCTGGACCTGTTCGCTACTGCTTTGGCCTTGTTGGACCTGGTACACTTGGCCACCATTAAGCGGTTCAATGATAAATTCTTTACCATGGCCACCACCCCGCCGTCGGACACTTCCCTCCGTGCTCCTGTTCTGCAGGAAGTGGTCCACGCCGACCGAGCAATCTGGATGACGGTCTCCGCTCTGGTCCGGGACCAATCTTGGTCCCTCACCGACAGCCTCAATGAAGTTGGGTTCTGCCGTCATGACATGGCCCCGTTGCTGCAACCCCGCCCGAGGCCGGCTCGTGTACCACAGCAACCGTTTGGCCCCGCCTCTCCCGGCAAGCCTAACCCGCGCAAACGCGTCAATCCGGATGGGCAGCACCCGGCGCCTCCCTCCGGTGCCGATGCGGCTAACCCCAAAGCGGCACCTAAGGTCAAGGCAAAAGCCAAAGGCAAGGCGGCTCCTTCCAAAGCCGGCCCCATCCCAGGTTTTGACCCGTCCTGGGCGCGCGTCGTGGACGGCGCTGATGTGTGCATGAAGCACGCTCTTGGCAAGTGTGCCAACCCCAATTGCAAGTATGCTCACGTGTGCCCCGTCATGCTTCCGTCCGGTAAGCCATGTGGTCAGCCTCACACGGCCCTCGAGCATGCTGCCGCCCCGCATTGACTACCTCCGGCGCCGCCGACGGTGGCCATGTCACCTGCATCCGTCACTGCCGGCGTGACGCCATCTTCATCTCATACGGTGCTCGATGTTCCTCCCAAGACTGCTCCGCCTGGGGCTCCGTCCGAGCCACCCACACAGCCTTTACGCGTTCCCCCAGCCCGGATCTTCTTGGACTTGTTCGCTGGGGCTGCCTCCCCGGTTACCCAATCAATGGCGGCACTCGGTCGAATGTGCTTTCAACCGGTGGATTTACTCTCGGGTGAACACATCGACATTTTGCACCATGCCACCTTTGCATCTTTGCGCCGCCTGTGTGCTTCTGGCCTGGTGGGCGCTGTGGCGGCGGCCCCGCCTTGCCTCGCGCACGCCTCCGTCCCGGAGGCCCCCCTCCCATCCGCACGGTCTCTCACCCGCGCGGTAAAGACGTGCTCTCTCCGGCCCAGACAACCGAATTGGCCACATCCTCTCTCGTCCATGTCCGATGCAGAGAGTTGTTGGCCCTGGTTGCCGCCCGCGGAGGTTTGATTTGGCTGGAAAATCCCACGTCCAGTCTTCTCTGGTTGGACCCACAGGTCATGGCTTGGTGTCGCGCGCGCACTCCGTTTGCTGCCACGGTGGCTGCCTGTGTTCATTCCGTCCCAATTCACAAATCCTGGACTTTCATGTGCAATCATGAGTCGATTGCGTCTGTGGCTTCCGTTTGCCCTCATCCCCTGGGCTTTCATCCTGCATTGTCGGGCCGTCGGGGCCCCGATCAGGTTTTTCTCACGCGCCAGACTGCCCGCTACCCGGCGTCACTGGCCTCTCTTCTTGCGTCTGTGGCCTCCCCCTTTGTGGACAAAGGCACTGCAAACCATTCCGTCCGCAACTGGACTTGCTTCCTTCCTTCTCTTCCCTGCTGGTCTTTCCCAACCGGCCGGGTGGAAGATGGCGCCGGCCTCTGCAGCTCCGCCACACAATTCCCTCCGACACAGTCCGACGCACTTGGCGACCTGCGTAAGGCATGGACTAGACGGCTCATGGACTCTGGCCTGCACCAACAGATTGCCTCCCGTCTGCTGTCCGGGTCCAAGACTGATCCCTTGTCCGAGGCCGAGCTTGCCCCTTTTCTGGCCAATCTTCGTGCTTTCCTCCATGTGGATTCCGACCCCACTTGGACCTCTCTTCTCCACATTCTTGACGGTCAACCATTCCGTCTCAACTTGTGGCACTGCTTGTCTCTGCTCTGCTCCGACCCAGACGCTGACTTTTTTCCATGTCCTCCGCGAGGGTGTCCCTCTGGGTATCGGCACTGCTATTCCGGTGTGCCCCGTGATGCACCCTCCTGCTCCGCCCGATGCCCTGCGCCTTCCCTTGGAGCATTGTGAATCCGCATGGAAATCTGCCTTGGACCATGCGGACATCGTGGATTCTCTGCTGCAAGCTGAGCTGGAGGCCGGCTGGATCCGTGAAATCCCCGGTGGTGACGCGGAACTCCGCCGTTCTTATCATCACACTGCTGTTGGCAAGCTGGGCTTGGTTTTAGCCCCTAGTCGCCCGCCTCGCCTTGTCGTGGACTCCTCGGTGTCGGGTGTTACTTCCAATACGCATCTCCCTAACCGTTCTGCCAACCCATCCCTGATGGACGTCCGCCGCTCCGTCCCGGTCTCCGACTCTCTGGATCAACTCGTTGCACTTGTGCTTGACGTGGCTAAAGCCCACCGTCGGATGCTCATCCGCCCCTCCGACCGTGGTCTCCTGTGTTTCCGTCACGCTGGCCGCCTCTATCAAAGTATCACTCTGAACTTCGGTGCTCGCGTCTCCAGCTTTTTCTGGGCGCGTTGCGCAGGCTTGCTTGTTCGACTTCTCAAGCGTTTGCTCCGTGTCCGCCACTCCTCTTGGATTTATGTCGATGACATCTTGGCGTTGTTCAACCGCTTGTCCGCCCCACTCTGGGCATCCGTTGCTGTTATTTTGCTCCTTTGCCTCAAGGTCCCCATGAGCTGGCATAAGGGAACCCTGTCCCCCACGGTCGTGTGGATCGGTTGGCAGATGGATTTCGAATGCTTTACAGTCCGTCTCGATCCGTCCAAGCTTTCCCGCCTGGTGGATCTCGCCAAACAGCTGCTAAGCTCCCGCGACTGCTCCGTGCGAGACCTCGAGAGGCTTACAGGCAAGCTCCTTTGGCTTTCCTCCCTCTTCCGATGCTTCCGTCCTTCCCTGGCGCCATTGTACGCGGACCAGCACACATTTACTCCGGCGCTCACTGCAGTGTCACCCGACAAGTGGCAAGCCCTGTGTGATAATGTGGACGCTCGGCTTGTTCTTCAGCGTTCCGTGGGCATCGCAGCTATCCCTCCGGGCTCCGTCCTTCTCCGGGTCGGCCAGTCGCCGCTCACAACTCGACGTGACTTGTGCCTCGTGGTCCCTGAGCGCCGACGCATTTGGGTACAGTCCTCTTGTCCGTCGCGCTCCTTCTGTCGGCTGTCAGATTCTTCCCGACAGGTCATCAGCATGTGGCTCGACTTGGCTGCTTCCGGGACTGATGTCCGCTCGCTGATCCTGCCACCGCTTTTTGAATGCACTGCCTTCGCCGATGCATGTGCAGACGCCTCCTCCGTCGGCATGGGAGGCTTCGTCCGTTTGCCGAACGGCGACCAGCTGTTCTTCCAAACACAGCTCAACAAACCACAGATGCTCCGTCTTTTTCCGTGGCTCCCGTCCGATTGTTCTTTGCAATCTTACATTGCCACGTGGGAGCTTGCGTCACAGACCGCCCTCTTATTTCTGCTTCATCGCCTGCTAGGCGACGGTCACTTACCTTGTCGCACGATTTTCCGCTCCGATAACTCCGCTACGGAGTCGGCGTCTTGGAAAGGTCTTTCTATGGCTCACGGCCTCTGCTCCGTGCTCCGTTCTTTCTTCGCACTTCAAGAGCGTTTACGCATCTCCGTGCATGTGGATCATGTTCCCGGGATTTCCAATGACGTTGCCGATGGTCTCAGCCGTGCCTCCGACCCGGCATCTTTCGGGTTTACGCCGTCCCAATCCGTGGACATCGACTGGTCCATCATGTCGGCCGCTCCGTCCATGCAATTCTTTCCGTCGGCCGAACCCTTCTCTGGATTCTGTGCTTCCTAGTTCTGTCCGTTGCCGTTGCTTGAGTTTCTTTTGGTGCGGTTCCCCTGTCGGGTCAAGCACGCGGCTCGATCATCTTTGGTCCGACCGCAGCCAAAAGGACCGGGTTCTGGGAATCCGTCCGCCCGGACAGTGTCTCACCAGACCTCCGGACTCTACGCAACTGCCGCAAAAAGGGAAGCGCGAGTGCGAGTGTTTGTCCGACCGAGCACTCCTTCAACCTTAAGGGTAACGGACTAGTCCGCCCGAACGTTACTGAGCTTGATCAGTTATGTNNTAGGACGCAACGGCAACCGACCGTCCGCTCAGCCACGGGCTCTCAGGACGGTCGGTCGCTTTGACTTCCCACCGCCGTCCCCTTTCTCCTCCCTGAGGATAGGGTTTCCGGTGGTCGGGCCGTCCTCCGTCCGCTGACCTCCGTCTACTTGTTTCACCTTTCCGTGGTCCGAGTTTCACACTGTCCGTTGAGTTTCACCTTTTCCTTCTTCTTGGCTAGCCGGTCCGACCGCAGCCAAAAGGACCGGGTTCTGGGAATCCGTCCGCCTGGACAGTGTCTCACCAGACCTCCGGACTCTACGCAACTGCCGCAAAAAGGGAAGCGCGAGTGCGAGTGTTTGTCCGACCGAGCACTCCTTCAACCTTAAGGGTAACGGACTAGTCCGCCCGAACCCCAACCTTTCACAATCAGCTTTGCAATGCTGACCTGCAGCCAGAGAAAGCACAGACACGATCTCGTCGTTCCGCAATGGTTTCCCAAGCACGACGGACACAAGCCGGCTAGGTGAGCGGAATGCAAAACGTGTCGGAAGGACTCCCGTTGAAGGATGATGAATTCGGGCCGTTGAATCAAGGAAACCTCTGTGCAACCAGAAAGCAGTCTCAGGGACACAGGTCCCCGCGCGAACGCATACCCTTGAAAGCCATGTCCAAGACGGCTCACGGCATGGAGTCCCGTGCTAGCATTTTGCTAGCTGGAGTCAGGAATATGGCTGCTTCTGGTGAGCTGAGTGGTGTGGAGGCGCGAGCTCTGACTCTGTCTCTCTCTGCACGTATGTATATATATATATATACGTGTGTATGTGCATGTATGTATGTATATGTATGCATATCTGTCTCTGTGTGTGTGTCTATTCGCCTACATACGCCAAAGGCTCTAGTTGTGTATGTAGATAGAATATATGTGTGTATATATACGTGTATATATATACATATATATATATGTGGGTATATATATATACACGTCTATATATATATATATGTATGCACATCTCTCTCTCTCTCTCTCTCTCTCTCTCTCTCTCGGCACTCTCTGACTCTCTCATTGACTCTGTATGTCTGCATGTATGCATGCATACTTGTAGGTATGTACGTATGCGTGTACGCGTGTATGTTTGTATGCATGCATGTATTGCAAAGCCATATTTATGTGCGCATGCACACATATCTGTATGTAGGTAAGTTTAGAGGTATGTGAATATACAATATTTGTGTGTAAGTATGCGAGTATGCCAGTATGTAAGTAAGTTAGTCACCAAGTGAGTAAGTATTCATATGTGAATGTCTGTATGCATGTACGAGCATATGTTTGTACGCATGTACGCACCTGTCTGTCCGTCCGTCCTTCCGTCAGTCCGTCCGTCCGTCTGTCCGTCTGTCTGGATGTCTGGGTGTCTGAGTGTCTGCGTGTCTGCGTGTCCTTGTGTCTGCGTGTCTGTCTGTATATCTGTATGTCTGTATGTCTGTCTTTATGTATGTATGTATGTATGTATGTATGTATGTATGTATGTATGTACATACATACATATGTACGTACGTATGTACGTATGTATGTATGTATGCATGCATGCATGCATGCATGCATGCATGCATGCATGCATGCATGCATGCATGCATGTAGGTACATTTTTTGACGCGTCACAGGAAGGCACGGTGACCTGGGACGATATCCTGTCAGCGAAGGAGGCCGAGCAAGGGTGTTTAGGCGTAGGATCCGAGCAGGGTTTGAACATTTCAGTTGGTGCTGGAGTGGCTTCGGAATAGCAGTGCTAACTTGGTATTACAGCCGGTAAATGTGTATCTGCTCATTGCAGCTGAAGTGCTACTGCCAGCCCAGGGCCTTCGTAGATTTGCCGTGCGATTCAGCAGCGTGATGACCGAGACAGTTCGGATGAATGGCTTCGTCAAGGCAGACGTACAGCTGACGCCAGGAGAGAGACCTGTGTTCGACTACAGTTGCTTCACTGGAGGTTTTGCAGCATGCTTCAAGTATTTTTGCTTGCCTCCTTGCTCCTCTCGATGTCGCCTGACCGTCAAGAACATGAGGAAGCAACAGGCGAATCTTCCAGTCGACGTGGCTGATGCGCGCAGGAAAGAGGTAGAAGAGGGATTGAGTAAACATGATTTTTTCGAGAAGTACGGCTTCGTCCTTCTGAAACATCAGAGCACGATGACTGCAGAGGACTGGCTGGCCAGCAGCACGAAGCCCTTACCGGGAAAGTCTTCTGGGAAGCCCTCATCCTCGAAGGTACGTGACATTTATGCTAAGGAGATCGAGCCGCTTATCCGGGAACTGTTGCCGAAGGCCGGCGAGATCTCTTTTCCAGCCTTCGCTCTGCGCCGTGGACCCGGCGGGCCCAACCCCTTTTATGGATTCGGGGTGCACCAGGACTACGGGCTGTATCCCGAGGACATGAAGACGACCTATGAGATAGCCTACTCGGGCCTCGAAGGCAGCTTCGAGGATTTTCTAGACCGGTGTTATCACGAAGACACAGCAGGATTCTCGATCATAAACTTCTGGCGTCCTGTGCCGCCCATGGCAGGCCCAGTCAAAAGCACACCCCTGGCAGTTTGTGATCCCAGCACAGTGAAGGTCGAGGACTGTGTGCCGATAGAGATGTACGGCTTTGTTCCTGGAGGTCAGCGCAGCTTGCTACTCAAGCAGAACGCAGGCCAGAAGTGGTACTACTACCCAGACATGACCACGGACGAGGTCTTGGTGTTCCGACAATTCCACTATGAACGGGGCGTGCAAGCCCCCTACCGCCGAATCAAGACGGTCTTCCACACTGCCTTCAAGCATCCAGGGTCCTCGCCTCACGATGAGGCTCGCAGCAGCAGCGAGTATCGACTGGGAGTGTGGCTGAAATAGCGTTGGCTTGGCCCTTTCAGTGCAGTAGTGAGTCATGCCTCTTCAGCTTTAGCACACGAGTGCTTGAGGCGAGTGCTTGAGGCGGATGTACAGGCCCCATGGCTTCAGCCTCGAAGCTGCGAGAGAAAACATCGCTGCAGATGTTTGGTTGTACATCAGCAAAGTACGGGCGGTCTCCGGCAATAGCTTCTTTGTCTTCGGCTTGTTTGTTTTTGGCTTTGGGTTTTGCTTTCTTGAGCTTTGGCTTTGAGCCTCCGTCATCGCCTGATGAGGGCAAGAAAGCGATCTACCGCCATCCGCCATCGCCTAATGTGTAAGTCTCCACCATCGCCTAATGGGGGTATGAGATCCACACGCGAGAAGTTTCACCAAGTACTATCGCCAGATGAGTTGACAGATTCAGCAACAGCACATACCGGTGCGACTGTGAGACCACATGGATGAACCCGGGGAAGCACCAGCAAAATCACTCCCCTCAGCCTTTTGAAGGCACCGCCCCCGGCATCGTTAACCCCCACCGTACCTACGAACGCAAGGTTACAGTTTCTGCAAGGACATGTGGCACTTCGAGCATTTCGAAGGAACCACCTCCAGAATCGTAACCCCTCCCCCCGCGCACGGGTGGCATTTGGAGAAATACGTGGATCCCTGAATCCCCGGATGAAAGCAGCTCGCCTGGGACTGTGGAGATAGCACTTTTTGAAACTAAAACTGGGAGAACTGGCACCTGCTGGGCAAAAGGAAACCAAGAAGCTCCAAAAGCCGCAACTCGCGAACCTCTGGTAACGGTAATGTTGAGTTCCTATTGATAAACCCGCTCCATTATGAAATTCGACCCCCGCAACTCCATTATAACCCCCCCCTCAATGATAAAGCCCGATCCATTTAACTCAATAACTAAGAATTCCGTCCCTGGTTCCTAAAAGACAACTTGAGGCCCTTGCGTCAGCCCTCCCAGAGTCGCAGAGGGAGTCAGCGAGGGTAGTAGTACTGAGACCCCCCCTATATATCCCCCCTCAATAATCAATCAACGGCCTGCTGTTTGATAGGAAGTCAACATTCAGCAGTGGCGGCACAAGCCGCAGAGGTAGTTAAGGGCAAGAGCGAACCCCTTGTCAGGCCAGACAGTGCCCCAGTTAACGTCTAAGAGTCTAGCGCTTCGCACATGCAAGGCCTTCGTGTCCGGAACCGCTGCTGCTGTCCGAGGCTTAGGTCACTTCACGGAACCACTGGTCTCGAGATTGCCCAAGATGCAAAACCTAAGCTTTGAGATAGCTGATTCTCCTTGAAATCTATTCAGGTAGAGCGTTATGTAGTCTTCAGTTGAAGGCAGAGCATTGGCTAAGATTAGCTGAGTCGTGAGCAGTATGATATTCACTCTCAACTAAACTCCGAATGTCAGCTGCTGAAGCATAGCAGACTACGGGTGTCAACATCCGCTGAAAAGAGGGAAACAACCCAGATCGTCGTAGTTACGTGTCGAAGGCCGTGCAAAGCCATGAAAGCCAGGAGGTTGGTTCACAAGCAGCTCCTTGAAAGGAAAGCGTAACATCTAAGTTTGTGCCGGTCAAGCTTCACGCAAGACGCGAGTTTTTTTGCGGGCGAAGCGGCCACTGATTTTGCAGCGGCTGATGCGAGGCAGTAGTGTTTTTGGAGACTTGCCGAGTTGCAAGGTTACTCCGGTGGAGCACATCGGCGAGGAGCGGATAGCTGATTCTCCGTGAAATCTATTCAGATAGAGCGCTATGTAGTCGTCTTCAGTCAAAGGCAGAGCACTGGCTAAAGATAGCTGAGTCGTGAGGTGAAGTATGATATTCACTCTCAACTAAACTCCGAATGTCAGCTACTGAAGCATAGCAGACTACGGGTGTCAACATCCGCCGAAAAGAGGGAAACAACCCAGATCGTCGTAGTTATGTGTCGAAGGCCGTGCAAAGCCATGACAGCCAGGAGGTTGGTTTACAAGCAGCTCCTTGAAAGGAAAGCGCAACATCTAAATGAGCTTGTTTGTGCCAAAGATGTAGGGGGGGCAAGCTTCACACAAGACGCGCGCTTGTTTACCAGAAGCAAAACTCTGAGCAAAACAACCAGTGAACACCATCTCCGCCTTTGGGGATTTCCAGCCACTGGTTGCTTGGGAAAAGGACCTCTGCCTGCGGGCGCCCTTGCCTGGCCTTGGGCCTTTCTCAGGAAGGGTTCTGAGGCATGGTCCTCATGGCAACCTTCATGGGTGACCGACACGGGTGTTTTTCGAGACACTTGGTGGCCCGGATCCTCTCACGAGATGCCAGGGGGCCTGCTGGGTCAGTGTGGGTGTGATGGCCGTGTCGGGTTGCAGCTGCGTTTGTGCCGAGCCTCTCGGGCAGTGCCGCCGCAAGACCCCGACTTTGCATTGCGCCTTGAAGATGACCTCATGGGGAGCTGCCCAGACTTCCGCAAGACCGGGCGGCCCGCCGCCAGCCGAAGCTGGGAAAGCGCCGGTTTACGGCTTGCATGAGCCCGGGCGTGCTTGAGCTGCAGGTGGACTGGACAAGGCCGTTGCGGGGACTCGCCCTCCTGAGAAAGGACGTTTATGAATTCTGCCAAACTGGCATCCAGCTCCCGCTCGTGCTCGGCGACGGCGTTGACCGTGCCTTCTTGCAGCCCTAGAGCTGGGCAAGAGAAAGAGCGGTACTCGTTGGTTTGGGCCTGCCAGTCGGGACACCTCGTCTCCTTCTTTGGCCGTCTGCGGAGGATCCGAACTCTGGCACCGGTGAAATTGGCGAGGAAGGTGAGGATCTCGTCGGTGACAGTCGGGTTGAGCACCACCGGTCTTTGGCGGGTCTCCTTTATGAAGTAGAAGACCTCCTCAAAGACACGGGCCCCGAACCCGCTGGAGGTGGTGAAGGCCACGGCCGAGCCTCCTTCAACTCAAGCAGCTTTCCCTGGCGCCTCCTTCAACTCAAGCAGTTTTCCGAGATGTACTCCACACAGGGAAGCAACATCGCCTTTCTCCCTTCGGGGCATGTGGTGGTGGCGCTGCATCTCACCAAGACCCTGCAGCTGCTTTTTGTCCCTTCCCACCCGCCTGCTTCCGTGAGCTCTCTCGCTTTCTTCTGCAGCTTCTCTTTTGCTGCTGCTGGACGTTTTTGCTTTGTACGGGTTGTTTATGCGTGTTTCAGGGCTCCGGTTGCACCTGCTTGACATGGGTGACACTCGCTCAGGATGGGTGTCGTCATCTAAGGGCACCGCCCGTCCCGCAAAAAGCGCGAAGGTCTTCGCTGAAAGGCACTATTAGGTACTATCATGCCGTTGGGGGTGTAGCAATCTCGTGCAAGACATGGAAGAATACCATGAGCACACAGTGATCAGTTTATCGGAAACAGGCGCACATCAACAGAGTATGCCTAAACACGTTCCATTTCTGCTAAGGCCGCTCAGGCTAAGGGTCAATTGCAACAGAATGCCAGACAGCAAAGATGGCCAGAGGGACTCTGGAGGCAGAGTCTACAAAGAGCCCTAAATCGTGCACACGTCGTAAAGTCAGTCCTTGTGCCCAGACCTAGAAACCACTGCTCCACCGGAATGAATTCTGACTTCGAGGAGCACTCCCTCGGGACACTAGGGTTTCAACGTAGTCCTAGTTGCTATCGAACGGTCGTCGGTGGGTCGTCATATTTCACGGACAGCGTGGAATCCAACTGTTCGACTGTTCCGCAAGTGTGCAGCCATTCGGAAACCAAAGCTGAGGGTTTGAAATAGGGACGGAGGACTCTGGACTGCGATGCCCAAGGCATGAAGAGCTTATGTTCATAAAACACCAGAATACTCTCGTCTGCCATAGCCACCGTTGCTGGGACAGGCCGGGCAGGAAGTTGACCTCCCGTCTCCGGGGCCTGTCACGTCGAAGCTCAAGGACGGTTGTGTGCTGGAAAGGTGTAGGGACGGGTGAGGAGATTCAGGGGGGAAACACCTGGCTTGTCGACTTTCTGTGCAGGTTCCTGCTTGTGAGCTCTGTAGCAAGACCCCGTGTGAAATCTTGCCGCAGGTCCTGTTGTTGTTAATCGAGTTCGAGAGAAGTGATGGCTGCACCTAGCTGGCTCAAGCACCTGCCGGTCTTGGCAGCAGGGAATGGAGGGTGGCTTGGGCACGTGCAGCAACTTCGGACAGTCGGCCGGAGGCAGCAAACGCAAGCACTTGCAGCCGTAATTAACTTAGCCAGCCTCCCCGGAGAGAGAAAGAGAGAGAGATAGACAAAGGAAGGGTCCGGTCGGAAGGGAAAAGAGAGCGACATGCATGCACATTCAATCATATCATATACTCATTGACCCATAGACGCATGCTATGACGCTGTATGTACTGCAGAATTGCAATCATACATAAGAAGCATCCCAATGTACAGTGGTATCTTTGAATATATAGGTCAGGTGTCGCAGCCAGAGCTCGGCAATGGAAGTGGCCTCGCGAGACACGACGAGCCTTCGCGACAGGCTGCTGCGCCTCGGCTCAGGGTAACTCTTGAATCGATTCTACATGCTTAGGCTTAGGTATGAGTGTTTCGAGAAGCGGTTGCAGTTACAGGATTGCAACCTAGTTGCCTGAGACCCAAAGCTAGTTTCTTGAATTCCTCCCGTGCGATCAACCCATGCGCCGTTGTCTCCACCAGGAGACCTCCCATATACTGGCTCTTCCATTCCTGGCGCCTCTTCGGCCTTTGCCTTAGAGGCTGATTGCAGGCTGCACGCCTACGTATACATATATATATATATACACTACATATATATATATATATACACATACACACAAGCACTCGTGTAATAGAACCAGATGTAGACCAGATCCGTCTGCATGCATCTATGTATTGTGCATGCAAGGGTCTAGTGTGTTTTGGCATATCTGTGTATGTACATACACCCGTTTTGTGGCTTGTCATGGCGAGGAGGCTCAGCCAGGCCACGGTGAAGCTGACAGCCTTGTGTTGTTTTCACATTCCCAGAACGATTCAGTTAAGTGTGCAAGATGTGAAGCCAGAGCCAATCCGAGGTTATGGTGTTCTCATCCCGCCCCTCTTGGTCTATCAACCTCTGAAGACTCTGGCCGGAATTGTTGCTTACACAGCTGTCCATCGCCAACGCTGGTGGCAGCAAAGTGTGCACAGGCCACGGGCGCTGGAAAATCTGCAGAGCCATCGCGTTGAATTTCCAATGGGTCATCTCTGATTTCTCAATTTTGAGGGCCCAATTCGAAAATCGAGCTCCGTTGGTGTCAGAAGACCTTCGAAAAGGCATCATATCTCAAAGCGAAGGCCTGATGCACATCTGGCCGCCAAACCGCCGCAGCAGCGCATCCCAGCGCCGACCCTCCGGATCGGATCGACAACCGAGTAGGTTGAAATAGGCCAATAAGGTCCAAAAACCTCAATAAAGGACTGGCTACTAAATACTGCTAACTTATATGCTCAGGAAAGCAAGCGGGGCTAGCAGAATAAAAAGGAGCAGTAGCAGAAAGAAGGCAAGTTTCAGCATGACAAGGACAACCTTAGTATAGGAGAACGCCAGGTAGAAGGAGAAGCTCCCCCCAGCGTCTCCAGCCGTTAAAAAAAAGCTAGCGGCAAGAGCACGCTGCCTATCTCAAAACTATCGGAGAGTGAATCTGCGTTGTCTTTTGGAAGAGCTCAACACGAAGAGACCACATTGGGCCTGGCAGGTTTTTTGGATACGGAGCATCTCGTCGACATCGCTTCGTCAATGAGCACACAGACGTGTCTCCTGCCTAGTTTGGGATGTCAAGACTTGACAGGGTCGAGAGTTTCGACTATCGGCAAGACGGGGGTGGGACTGCCTTGGGATCACAATGCAGGGAAAATCTGACAGTGTGGTCTTGGTGGGTTGTAGAGCTCATGCAGGCTGCCAGCACATCCGATGCAGCCGAAATTGCGCAAGTCCTTGCTTTGTATACAAAATGCGCTGAAAACACGGAGGAGGTCGAGCAGTCAAGCTCAGTCGCCCAACCAACGGCCCAAAGGATCAAAGAAGACAAGCGATACCTGTGGTCTCTGCACCCACACGGTCTTCTTGCAGATGGCTGGCACTCATTGATTGTTTCCTCAGCTGCACTTGGGTCAGGGCTTGGTGACCCAGGTTACCAGGTTGGGTTTGAGGGAACGTTAGACCCATGCCCGGCCGCCACTACTCAGTGCTTTTTCAGCATCGGGCCTGACTACAACGTGCATGGAGGCTTGCAATCACAGCAACTCGCCACTCAATGTGAGGCCCGGAACTTGGACTCCTTCGCGGACTCCGGGAAGGGCCCGCCTGCGGTGGGGCGCAAGATCGCCCTTTGCGACTAGACTGCCTGTCAGTTCAATCGGTGCGGGCGATGTGCAAGCAAGCGTAGAGACGGGTTTGGGATCAGCTGAGGCTTTGCGCCCGTTATCCAGCATGTGCCAGTGCACCAGGACCGCTGAAGGGTGGGGGGGATGCCTCATTGTCGTTTGAAAGCTCCTAGATTCCTAGATAAGCAGGGCCGGGTAGGGCCGGTATGGCCGGGTATCGTTCTCTGACTTTGGTTTGAGCAGGAGATGTACCGGGACTTGTGCACCTCGGCAAGCAGGAGAGATATCGTCAAGACACTCGGCTGCCATGTGAGCTGTTTGCCTTTGACAGCGGTGCTCATTGTGCTCGTAAGGGGCGCAGTCCTGAGGTGGTGGAAGACTGCAGACACTGACCCGGCGCTCATTCCCGGCGGTTTCTCCGAGGAGCGGGCACCATCATGGCTAGCGATGACAGTGCCCAGAGACAGCCACAGCTGCAGTGTCGGGGTGCTTGGGCAAGTCGTGAATGAGTGGGAGGCAGTCTTCGTCAACTCCGCAGAGCGCAAGTACGAGTACTCGTATCTAAAGAACAGAGCCTCGGCTTGCAGTACTTTCGAGAGCTTGCGTGTCGGAGCAAGTTCTGTGAGGAAAGGGCTTTGTGAGGATCGCTGTGGAGGAGGGTAAGGACATCGTCCCCTGCTACACCTTCCGCCAGAGCTGGATGTACCGGACACCTCGGACACTGCGCGCCGCGCGGGCGCGACTGTCCCAGCACATCTTTGTAGGCATTATCCCATTCTTTGGGTGGATGGGCACTTCCATGCCTCTCACGGACAAGACAACCTCCGTGGTCTTCCCGCCTTTCCCCGCCTCCGAGTACAAGCCAGACCAGGTGGATGCCGCACACGCTGGGTATCTCGAGCACCTGAAGAAGTATTTTGACTTGTACAAGGGCCGCTTCGGCATGAAGGATGTCGAGCTGGAGTCTCGGCAAAGACTTCTGCGGGTTGGTGGCGGTGGGGAGTTTCCCTTCCTTCGGGAATTGGATGAACGCCATGATCCTGGAGTTGACATGCGTACTGGGTGGATTGTTGCTGACTTGTGTGCGCAAATACCTGAAGTGTCCACCTCTTCCCAAAGTTTTGAATACTACCCAGGTTTTCATCGGCAACGACTTCAAGGACGATGACTGGGCGGCAAGGGCTTTGCACCGAATGGGGCTGCCTCTCGCCTCTAGGACCTGGGGTAGCGGGAGCCATGGGATCGTTGAACTCAAGGCTCGACTTCGTTTCGTGTTGGGTTTGTGAGAGACACAAAGGCTCTCGAGCCACGTGGTGGCCACCGAGCCACTGCCGCCTCCGCGACCTCCACGATCACGGCTCTGAAGCTGCCCCTTGCCCCAACTGCCCCAACGGAAGGGTCTTTGGCTCCCAGGGAGTCAGCCTTGCTGCTGAGATGATGCTGCCTATCGCTTCTCAGACCGGGCTTCGGGCCAAGGCAAGAAAGACCTTCGATGTTGGGGTCCTTGGCGGTGCCAGGAGCCCATGCTCCGGGTCCCAAATGCGATTTCAGAAAAGTTCTGCAGGCCATCAGGCTTGAGCCTCGATCTTGGAGCGAGAGGCCTCAGATGGTTTTTTTGCTTACATGATTGCGGGATTAACGCAGGCTTTAAACAAGCAGAAAGGTGGTTTCAGTATCATTGCTGCCTGGTCCGCAGAACTACCCAAGCACCCTCAGTGGCGTATAGCCAAAGAGCGTACGCACACGCAACAAAGCTAGCCTGAAGGGGCACTGCACAATAGTTATAGTTCTGTGCTACAAGCAAGCCTCTCCCTTGGGTGACAGTCCCAGCTTCAGGGATTGGCAGCTATCTGGTCGCGAGATGACGGGATGTATCACAGGGCTAAAATCAGAATAGCTGATTGCTCTGCGCCAGAGGCCCCGTCACCGGCGCAACTCAGGTTTTAAAAGGCATGATCGCTGCATGCGACCCCTCACATTCGTTGACCGGTGTCTTTTGTGGCGTTCTCGCTCAGGAGACCTACCTTGACATCCAGCAGGAGCCGGTAGCTTGGGACCATTTGTAGAACGTTGCTGAGCCTCAGGAGCGGGGACGTAGA